AGCAATACATGCACTCGAAACCAATTAAATCTGGTAAAACATATAGGTTGTTTTGTGATTCTGTTAGTAGATAGGTCTGGAATATACAATTTTAAACTAAAAGTATATTTTTTTACTATTCTTTTACTACTATTCTTTTATTTTTGTGTTATTTCTTTTTTTATTTATTAATATATAATGAAAAAGTGCTAACTAACTGCACCAAAAATGAGAAAAAATATTTGCAGGTAAACTCTGCATAAACAAGTTACTCAAAGTTTTAGTTACTACTCGTCGAAATAAAAGAGATCTACGATGGCTATAAGTCTAGAGCAGTAAAAAAAATTAATAATAAGAATAAGCACATAAATTATCTGTATAAAATCTCCACATATTAAGATTTGTGGTTACAAAAAAAAATTAGTAATAAGAATAAGCACATAAAATATCTGTATAAAATCTCCACATGTTAAGATTTGTGGTTGCAAAAAGTGCTCCTTTCTTTTTACATGTATATTTATATTACTATTATTCTTGTAATAAAAGGATTAAAGTTTTTAAAATTAATATTTTATAATGGTTAAGTATATATATCAACAATCCTAATGTTTTCAATTTAGTTAAATTTTCAATGCCATCCATATATTTCACTTTGCTGTGAAGAAATAAGTTTTAATTAGTTCAAAAATGACTTCACCTGCTGAATAAATCTCAACTTTTCCTGCAAATAACATAAACTTTCTGTTAAATAAAGTAGAAAATTATGTTAAAAAATAAAAAGAAAAATTTACATAAAATTCACATTAAATTAAAATTCTATTAACTTTTTACTCTATTCTGCTCTGTAGGCTACATCACCATTAAGGATATGAAGCCAGAACTTGGTCCAAAAGTTGAACGAAACGAATGGGGAGATTTAATTAAACATTATTGGATTATTTTGCTGGTTGTTTTGATTGTGGGTTTGCTGGTCATATCGATGCCAATTATTGGGTAAGTCATGTTGCCCCTGTTACCAATATTAAACATTTTTTTTTCATTTTCCTTTTATAAACATTGTTTTTATCATCCTTACTACGTATTTATTTTTTAGATTATGCTTTTGCTGCTGCCGTTGTGCTGGTGCTTGCGGTGGACGTTCGGAGCCGTTTGATAAAAAACATGATACTTGTCGACGTGTATTTCTCGGTTTCCTGCTCATACTGTTAGCCACAGGCATTGTGTGAGTAAATCAATGTAACACATATCCGCTTTCATATTGAATTTACCAGGAATATCAGTTTATTTTGAGCTTTTAACTAATTTGTAACTATATGTTTTTCCCCTTCTTTACTTTTCTGCTTCGTAGTTTTGGAGTTATTATTGCATTCGCTACCAATAGCTACATGCAAATGGGCGTTGACAGCGGCACTGATGCGGTACGAGCTGGTAGTGCTGATACACAAAAATTCCTTGGTGTCACCTCAGAACAAATTGATCATATCTTGGTTACTAACTATAAACAACTCTCGGATCAACTCGAAAACATTTTAAGGGGTAAATTTTATGCACTAAACTGCATTCTTATTAAATTTATTTAATATGTTAACACGACGAAGATTTATTTGTAAATAGAAAAGTGTTAAATAATAGTGAATTACAACAACATTTTATTTTTCAATCGAAAAATATTGAAAAATATGATACCTGTTTTGGACATTGCCAAATAAACATTATTAGTGGGCCTTTGGAAATATTTTTTTTTAATATTTTGTCGTTTTCGAATAGTTTTTAGACTACAATTACCAAGGGTTTAACAGCGTATATCGCTGTTAAATTTGTCGAAAATAGTACTTGATTTATTTTATTCAAACTAAGAGTTTTAGGAATTTCACTTGCTGTGTTATATTAAAATGAACGCATAAACCACAGCTATATATAATTGCGATTTACTTTTATAATTTTAGACATTAGATATAAATTATATATATAATGTTATAATTTATTATTCTTTTTATCGTTTCAGAAACATCTTCATTTATTATAACACAGTTAGAACGAAAGTCTATGGCGGTCTCGTTGCAATATCTGACAGATTTTCTAGCGAAGTTACCAGAACTACGAGATAAGCTGCAGCATATGAAGACAATAACAAATGAACTGCGTGTTTATGCCTCTCAACTGAGTGACGGTTAGTTGTGAAAATAATTAAAAGTAATTAAATTTGTTAAATAAATAATTCTCTTTAAAGGTTTACGCGGTGTTAAACGTGACTTGCTTCTTATGCTCACTAAATGTAATCAAGAAGCCTGCCAGGAAGTTTTAACAAAATACGAAATTGGCAAATTGGATGCAAATGGCATACATTATGATCAGGTAGGCAGTAAATTAAGTTATTTACAAATACGTATATATAAATATAAATTTATGGTTTATATATTAAATATTCTGTAAGCATTTTATTGATTCATTTAATGCATTTATTAAAAATTTATTTATCATGCTGCATGAAGATGGTAGACAGATACTTTCCAAAGGTATGTTATAACAAAGTATTTTATTAAAAAGAAAAAAGAAGAAAATGTTATTTAATATTTTGTTATAAATAAAAGAAAAAGTGTGTTTGAAATATATTAAGATACTTATTTGTTTAATTTATTATTCATATCACAGCATATTAACAACTTTCATTTATTAGAAGTGTTGCTAAAAATAATTTTTTACAGCTTAAATGTAATGTCTCCTTAAAAATGAATTTACCATTCAAGATAAATAATTTATTCATGCTTGAAATTTCATTATGGGAACAAATGATGATAAAATAAATTTCGTCAATTTTTATTGACGTAAATCATACAAAGAAATTTATGCTATTCTATTTACTGCATACTTAAATAGTTAGATAATTGTTAATTTTTAATCCCTCTACTTAAATTAAATTAGATGTAATGTTGATGATTTAAGTTTTTATTTAGACGTGCTTGAATTTTGTGGAAACCTTACTATCTTCGACTGCTAAACGTGGTCTGTATCTTTTCTTTTAAAAACTTTTAGTGAATTTTTCACGTATAACTCTAAGACTCCATATTAACAATATTTGAATGTAAAAGATTCCCTTGATAGGTTCGAATTTATCTCTATTCAGATAAATTCAGCAGCAGAATCGAAGTCAAATTCGATTATGATTCGCTCTGTTCAGGTACATAAAATTATCATCTGAGCACAAACTTAGATTTATAATACTTACCTATTTCCTCAGCTATATACGTTACACTATATCCCATTACGTTACTTACCCATTCCACCATATTAATCTGTATGATTATTTTAATATGCGTTATGCATTTACAGTATAATGTATGGTATAATGCGAATTTCTTTTCCAGACTAGGAAACTTAATCATTGAACATGTTTTTAATTTTGTTACTTAGGTACCTAGATTTCAAATGGAGGCGGCTGTCAATAAGACAGATTTATAGAAATTTAGGAAGCCATTCGAACTCTTCATAAAACGCGAAGATTATTTGACATTTCTCTGTACATAAAAAGATTATTTAACACCAACGTTAAAGCCTTCGGCTTGTATGACAAGGCGCAACTTTTAGAAGTTATTACCATGCGTTTGTGAAGTAGCGAAGATATTGTCCCTTGTCCCTGTTGGAAAGATCGAGTCAAGCTTAGTCATCTGCATAGACGAGTACTACCAGTAACTACGAGAAATAGACCCGGCTGCTTACACATCTACATCCTTCCCCTATTCCTATATAACACCCCTAACTCCTCTTAATTATTCTTACACTCCACCATAACCTATATATTCGTTTTTGAAATCCATTTATGTTTTCTGCGCTAAGGGTCCTTTCAGGTTACAACAACTACAACTACCACACCACTTTTATTATCCATATAAACGATCAAATATCACGGGTTATAACAATACAAAAAAATTAGTAAAACATCGGAAAACATCAAATAAAACTCAAACGAAAAGATTAAACTGTTATTTTGTTTTATTTGTTGTTATTTAAATAAGATGAGCCAATAAATTAAATATATTCTAACTTAAGAAATGCATCACTAACAACAAAATAGAAATTTATTTTATTTAATAATATTTACTACAGTAGTATATGTTGAAAAGCTCCTTTATTATTTCTATAACATCAAAGTAATTTAGTAACTCAGCATTAAGATCACGAGATGCTGAATATGCAACACTTCTCATAAACATTCATACAAAATAAATATTAATTTAATATTTTTGTTAATATGAAATTAATTAAATATTTTTATTTTCATAGTTACCTGATGTTACCGAAATAATTGAAAATTTGGAACAATTAATAAATGACAACATTGCCGCTGCAGGCAATCGCGGACGAACTGCTCTGGACAACATGCGTAAGCATTTGAATGAAACAATCGCTAAACACACACCACAAATTATACAGGCAATTAACAAAGCTGGTAAGTGTAGCAATTTGTTAATAAAAAATAATAATGTATTAAAAAATGTATATAATATATATGGTTTACAGGTCAAAGCTTCCAGAAGGCTTCTAATGATATTAAAACTGAATTGAAAAAGATTTCTAATTTAATTGGTACTAAAACTGACAAATACACTGGAGTTGCAGATGACTATCTTAATGAATATGGACCATATCGGTTCTATATTGGCATAGGAGTTTGCACAGTTTTGTTGTTGGTAAATTAATTGATAACTATAGGAGTATGAATTGTTTAATTAAATTATATTTTTTCTAATTATTAGATACTTATTTGTTTAGTAATGGCGTTACTATGTGGTATTTGTGGTAAACGGCCTGACGGTTATGGTGATGATTGTTGCAATAAAGGCTCCGGATCACGCTTCCTCATGATGTAAGTGCGAAGTATTTATTCATTTTAATTGATGTGATCTTTTAACTGTGACCTTTTTATTGCAGCGCTGTGGCATTAATTTTCTTGACATTATCTGCTATTGCTTTGGTTTGTCTAGTACATTTTATTTTAGGTTTAGTTGCATATCGAGGAGTGTGTGTACCATTGAAGTAGGTTTATAATTACATTACTTATCGAAATTATAATTCAATCATTAATTCAAACTATTTTCAGGGATCCACAAAACGATGAAATTTTTGCACTATTGGATAATTCAATTGATTTGAATAATGTACTATATCCTTCACAAGGCAATGGCAAGGCTGCTTCAGGAACTTTACCACCATTCCGTATATCGCATGCTATAACATCCTGTAAGGCGAATAATACCGTTTTTGAGGTTTTGCGTATACAAAATCGTATAGATATTCAAGAAATAAATGAATATCCTGCACAATATAAAATTAATCAAACTCTTGATAATCTCGTAAATGGCATTGATTTTGATAATGAGAATATAGAAATACTTAGTGATGCGGATAAAGAACGTATTCTTCAAATGGGCAACTCGGCGATCAAATACTTCGATTCAGGCCAATTTATTGATAACCTAAACGATACCATAACTAAACATTCCCTTACCGAGATTTCTGAAAAATTGCGACAAACTGCATCACGTATCACTAGTAGTGAAATGAAAGATGTACAAGTGAGTCTGCGCAATCAAGCATTACATCTTGAGACATATGAGCAAAATCTTGTTATACCCATGAAAAACCAGTCATCCCAGTTAATTAATTTAGCACGTGATTTAGATAAAATATTACGTTATAAGGAGCATTCATTCCAAGAATCAATACCATTATTAGTAAATGAAATTGATCGTGCACAAATATTTATTGCAAAGGATGGCAGACAGTTTGTTAAGGAAACTGCTGAGAGTTTAGTTAATTATTTCTCTAGTGAAATTGTACGCTTCTTAGGCATGGTTGTGGATTCTGTAGAAAATAAGATTGGATTGTGTGAACCATTAGCTCGAGTATATGATGCGGGCGTTGTTGCTGCTTGCAATCGTATTGTAGATCCATGGGTAAATTCTTAAAATTTTTAAAATTATATGTATAGTAAATAATTAAACAATTTATTACAGAATGGTTTCTGGGCTGGTGTTATAGTATGTGTTGTGCTTTTCTTGCCAACCCTTATTGTAG